CTGGTCCTCCACCATCCTCGAAATTGTTGTTATGCTTGAGTTCATTGCTACTGCCATTGTGCCAATCCATCTCATTAGGGATTTTCCTTTTTTTTTCCTGAACTTCCTTCCACTTTACCAAACATGGTATTCTTCTCCAGGGACTGATCCTTCCTAATAACATGTCAGAAGTTTGAGAGACATGTTACTACCATCCTGGCTTCTAGGGAGCACTCTTCCAGCTGTACTTCTTCCAATACAGACTGATTTGTTCTTCTGAAATCCACAGTACCTTCAGCTTTCTTCTCAAATGTATTGATTTTTTTTATGGCCTTCCTTATTCACTGTCCAACTTTCACATACGTAAGAGGTTATTGAAAATATTTTGTTGACTTTACTAAGTAATGGTAATCTATGTGTAACTCGGCTGAAGTGGAAAACATATCAGTAGGTTGTTCAAGAAAGGGGGTCCATCATGCACTACTGCTGTTGTGAAGTGCTGTTGAGTCGATTCTGACCCATAGCGACCCTGTATAGGGTTTCCAAGGAGCAGCTGGTGAACTTGAACCACTGACTTGTGGTTCAAACAACTTTGCATCTAGTGCATTCGATCACAGCACTACACCAGGAGTCCTCATATGCTACTAGTGATTTTCAGTACGTGGGAAATTAACTGAGCTGTACACACAAGGACCATGGAAGCCATTCTAAAGAGTGTCCCATAATTTAGAAGGCAAAGTATTCAACCTGCACAAGTTTTGGTGTATAGTTGGACTTTTATCTTAAATATAATACTTTAAAACAAAATTATGATATTGATTTCAGAACACTCAGAGGCAAGGATTGAATAACAGAATGAATTTGCAAGGCACAGATCTTACTATGCTAATATAATAGGTTTTTTTTGAGAAAACAAAGAGTAGATAAAGGGAGCTGGGTAGACAACATTTATCTACATTTGCACAATGCTTTCAACTCTGTGCTGCATATCAGTGTGCTGAGAAATTAAGAGATGAATTGTATAAATGATGTGACAGAGTGAATTACTAGCAGCTTACAGGTTAGAAATAAAGGAATATTATTCTTTTAGATGCAGAAGTATATACACATTCACATACTGATGTATCTCAGGTTTAATCTGCAGTTAGACTAATTATCAAAATAAAATAAATGTCGATTATACATTAATCATTTTCAGAGAAAGGTCAATTTGATAGCATCCAACTATCTACACAACCCACATACAAAAAAAAATTTGGAAGCCAAACAATAAAGACAAAGAAACTAGCTAGTGATCTACTGTCACTTAAAAAAACAAAAACAAGTAAAATAAACTCATTTATAGTAATAGTTTACTTATGTTTCTTGGATGAAAAAAAAAAAAAAATCCAATGAGCTCAGTTAGACTTAGTGAATACATATAAGCATTGCCCTGTTTAACTTTCCATAGCTGTAATTCATTAGCAGAATACCCTATTGGGTGAGGTCCTGTATTAGATAAGGGCCATGATAAAATCTTTTGCCACCTAGCTGATGATGCCAACTTATAGTAACCCTGTAGGAGAGAACTGCTTCTCCTTACAACCTGAGAGGGTTTCCAAGACTATAATCTTCACAGAAGCAGACTGCCATACATACCTTTCTCATGTGGAGTGAGTGGCTGGTAAGTTTAAAACACCAACCTGTCAGTTAGCAGGCCAGAGATTTATCCACTGTCCACATAACAGAGATGGACTCCATTTTCAATAATGTTATTTGGAATCAACTGCAAGCCACAGCTTAGCAATTTACACATGGGTTTAGAAGAATAAAGGGTAAAGTGATCATTCAGTCATGGAATTATTCAGTCACTCATTCAGGAAATTGAGTCTCTACCAAGTGCTTGGCACCACAGATGAAAAACAGTGAATAATCTAAATTCTAAGGCCTCCACAATTCTGGAATTTGCCCATTGGTTAGGAGCATAGATTTGTACAGGTGCTAATTAAAAGTGCTATGGTTGGAGGAGAGAAAGCTGAGGTCATCTGCTTCCATAAGGTTGTTGCTGTTAAATGCTGTCAAGTCAATTCTGACTCAAAGTGAGCATGTCATAGGGTTTTCAAGGAATGGTTGGTGGGTTTAAACTGTCAACCTTGTGGTTAACAGTCCAGTGCTTATCCTACAGCACCACACCACATTTCTCCGTAAGGATTACAGCTTTGGAAACCTTATGCGGAAGTTTTACTCTCACAGGGATGTTATGAGTTGAAGTCAACTCCACATCAGGGGGATTGGTTGAGGAGGAATATTACTTTTTCAACAATTCTTAGGTACTAAAATGGAAAAGTTTACTGTAGATCACTGACTAAATATAAGGTCAGTTTTATGTTATGATAATTCAACACCAATGAAATACTTTTAACAGAACTACAATATAACTTCAAGTATTGATAATTAAAAGATTCATAAAGTATCTTTTTAAATGATGCATTAATTGTCAACATGTATATAAGGAGTCCTGGTGTGGTGCTGTAGGATAAGCACTAGAATGCTAACCACAAGGTTGGTGGTTCAAATCCATCAGTTGCAACTCGGAAACCCTATAGAGGGTCCCTATGAATCAGAACTGATTCGACACCACAAGTACCCAAAAACCATTGGTCAAGTATTCATATTGCATTTTTTCACAATAAGAAATTACCTAGCAATTTAAATTGCTACAGCCATCGTTTTTCAACTGATTATGATTTCAATTAAGGTTTGAATTAATGGGACCAGGCTAGTAGTAACTTTTACTATATATTTTTACTGTGCTGATTGATAATAAGAACTACACTTGTGATTTATAGTACTGCAGTGTTTTATAAGGGCCATTATGTTATCAATTAGTTACATTGATCAGAATATCACATACCTTAGTTGTTTTTGCTAAGTGCCATTGAGTCGTGGCAACCTTGTATAGGGTTTTCCAAGGAGTAGCTTGTGGGTTTGAACTACCAACCCTGTGGTTTATAGTCCAGTGCTGATCCTAGAGCACCACGCCAGGAGTCTTACTACATTACATAGCAGTAATAAAATATTATAATCTATGTAGACTGCTTTGCATCTTGTACTATATCTGTTTGTACTATGGGAATACCACAGCAGAACTAAAATCAGATAGGTGGCTTTCACTTAACAATGCCAAGATGTGAACAAAAGAAGATAATTATGCTGAGGATTCTTGCTACTGGAATTCACTTGTTTTCTTGATAAATCATAAAATTAGTTGATCCAAGACAAGAGCAACCAGGATTTCTGGGGGTCAAATCAGGCCAGGCCGATAGTCAATCTTAGTATACTAATACACATTTACATATATAAATTAGTTCACAAGTCTATTTATTTGTAGGGTTCTGCCATCTAAATCTACAGAAGCTTCCTTTGGATTTATTTGGGGGGGGGGGCTTGGTTCTGAAGGGATGCCGCGAGGGCAATTTTTTTTTTCCTGCTTGTCACAGTACTTTGGCAAAAACTTCAACTTTCAGTTTTATATAATAGCACTCAAAGCCCAAACTCTGGCACACATTATCAGAGCTTCAGCTTGTAGAAAGCTTGGAGAGGAAACAGTTACTTTGCTAATTAGCCAGTAAAGTAAAGTGACTGTCACAGTCCAAGCAGATCATCCATTTAACTCACTAAGTAAGATCTGGCTAGATCGTCCTTTAAACACTATAATTTACAACAGTATACATGAAGTTTCTTTGAAGGACAAAGGCAACATTTTCACTCACATAAGACACAGATACCAAACTAAACAGGAAATAAAAGCTTGTTAGGGAAGAAAAAAATATTTTTCATTTGTTTGCATGACACATTTCTATGATGGGTGGTTAAACTGTTTTTAAGAGAGAAGAAAAAATATGTAATCTATAAAAATTAAGACACAAATGTCTTACTTTGAATCAAGGCTATTTCTGACATTTCAGATTTATTATTATTCTTCTTAAGAGCTTTAAAAAACATTTTGTTGGCAAAAGGAGCTTTCATCATCACTGAGAAAATACTGTTAAAATTTAAATAATTTGTGTAGACTGCTTTGCATCTTGTAATATATCTATTTGTACTATGGGAATACCACAGCAGAACTAAAATCAGATAGGTGGCGTCCATTTAACAATGCCAGGATGTGAACAGCAGAATCCAAAGAAAATAATTCTGAGGATCCTTGACACTGGAATGCACCTGTTTTCTTGATAAATCATAATTCTATAATATATTTGTAAATTTTATCAGCTATAAAGATAAAAGTCAGAAGGAAACAAACCAAGACCAGCTCTACTTTATCATTTTATATCTTCTTCATTTCTGAGAACACAGAGTAGGATGTTTATAAACTAATTTCATGATAGCAAACAAAATTTAAGATATTAAACACAGTGTGAAATTGATACAATTTAGGTTCATGAAGTAGCTTGAGGTACCCCTAAAGGCACTTGCTATATTCTGTGGTCTACCCAGAAGTTCTGGTGTGGTGCTGTGGGTTAATGCACCAGACTGCAAAGCCATCTGAACTGCAAGGTCAGTGGTTCAAGCTCACCTGCTGCTCCTCGGAAACCCTATACAGGGCTATACAGAGTCACTATGGGTCGGAACTGACTTGATGTCACTTAACAACAACAACAGCCCAGGGAAAGAAGAAAATCATGCCAAATAAAGATCTTGCCTATAATGACTGCTTTGGAAAAACAAAACAAAACAGGAACTTTACCTTCCTCCTTTCTTCTTTTTGCTTCTTCCTCATTTCTTTCTTTGGCTTTTAATGCTTCATCAGCTTTCGCTGAAACAAAAACAATGAAATTTCCACACTTATTTTATGCCCATATCACAAGTTAAAATACTGGGAAAAGTAAAAATAATTCATAATGTGTGTGTGTGTGTGTTTTTTTAATGTCTGAAGTAATCAGAAGAAAGAAACAAATGGTTAAAAACTTCAGGTAGACATTTTAAAATCTATTCAGAATATTTAGAATATTTCTTTAGAATCTTTGCAGTCAAATTCATGATAATTCTGTACAAAAAGAAAAATATTTGAAAAATATAAGTTTAAATGATGGCATGCCAACTGGAAAAAATTGTTGAGGTCATTAAAAGTCATTTGATTTGTCGGTATAATGTGTCCACATAAGAAGCTTGCAATGTCTATAGAACAGTATCAAATTAAGTAGCATATTATTTTTTTTTTCATTGCACATCATGGCAGCAGTTCTTTATTCATGTTATGACAGCATTTGGTAAAAAGAATCTTTTTCCCTCTAGAAGCCTCTTCCCTTATTACTTAATTATCTACTAGTTGCTCAACTGCAGGGGTTTTCAAACACTTTACTACAGATGTTAAAGAAGATTAAAAATATACAGCACAGTAACAAGGGAATATCAATATACTCTGTAAATTAATTAAATTTCTGTTCTAGCACATCATTTATTCCAAAGCATTAACGTCTCAAAGGAGCGATTCTCCTTTATTGCCGTCTCACTGCCTGATGAGTGAACTAAGTGAAAATAAGTCTCTAATAGCATTATAGTTGATGAAACATTAAGTTAAAAAAGTATTGCCTCGTCAAGAGAAAAAGAATCAAACTGTGCCAGCATTAAACTTTGGATGAGCCCTTATTATAATGATAGCAGCAATACAATCTGTGATTTAAAAAATAAATATACTTGCTCGTCAGCTTTTCTGCTGCATGTACTTTTCTTATACAAAATCAACATATCATTTGGAAGCACAAAGCCAGGTTTCAAAAGAGAATTTAAAGAAAATACATGCCACATACATAATTATTTTTCTTCCAAGTATGGTTTTTCTTCACCATCAATATTGACACTTTCTTAAAATATAAAAGTTATATAATGATGTTATGAAGTGCTATATCCAATTACACAGACATCTGTTTCCATTTACAAGCTTTTATACATACTTAGACTGCATTTAAAGTCATGAAATATTAAAACTTTTATGCCACTCTTTATCATTGCACGAATCTATTAAATTAGATAATAAAAACAAACCACCAGTAACTCTAAAGACTTTTACTTCATTTACACTTTATTCTCCCTGGTAGAAGGACAAGGATAATAGAAATTCCATTTAAATTCAATTTTGGTTATATGTGTAATTGTAGATATACCCCTTGAGTCATGTAAAATGCTCAGCTTATGTTTCTTTCAAATTATCCCGCTCAGATTCACATTCTACTCCTTACAACCGTCTTCAATATGTATTAGCAGAGCTCATTAGACTGAAATTTAATAATGCAAACATCAGGTGGATTTCAAGAACCTCCATTAACAACGTAAGATGGATTGCTTATATATAGCTCTTGGGCCAACTGGGCACAATTTAAATTCAATAAACTACCCTGCCTAAATCTGATTTATCTATTTCTCTATGCGGTTTGTCCTTTCTTACTGATTTGTTGCTATACATGGACAATTCATTGGAATATTGTTTTAGGTTTTGTTTTTTTTTTAAACTGCAAATGGCTCTTGTAGTATGGTTAAATATTTTATTTAATTTAGTTTTATGCTGTCAATCAAGATTCTCAAGTATGTATGCATGCACGTGTGTATGTGTAATCTTTTGAATAATGCTGAAATAGTGCAGACAACAATTCTAAAAGTACATGTTTGAAAATTTTTATCAATAACCAATGTCCGCAACAAAAACATGAATGAATTCATTTATTCCAGGGGTGGGGAACATCCGACCCGCATGCTATATAAGGCCTGCAAAGTCATTTGGTCTGGCTCTGCCAAGGCAACCACATTTCCAGCCATCCAAATATTGTTAAGTGCTGTCGAGTCAGTTCCGACCCAAAGCAACCCTGTATAGAGTTTTTGAAGAGCAGCTGGTGAGCTTGAACTGCCAACCTTGCAGTTCAAACGGCTTTGCAGTCTGGCGCATTAACCCAAAGTGCCACACCAGGACACAGAGCAGGCTAATTTTTAAGTTGACAATTTTGCATGGCCTGAGAATGATGCTATAAATATCCAATGGCCCTTGGCAGAAAAAGGTTCCCCACCTCTGATTTATTCAAATTAGATCGATCATAAAATAAACTCACTAATTTGTAAGGAAATATGGAATAATGTTTTTCTTCCTGACTACTTTATGATGCTATGATTTAAATGTGAATAAAGGAAGAATTCATGGACATCCATATATGATTTAATTTCCTGACAATTTTTACATTCTGTAAAAGATAGCAGTCCCATTTTACATATGATGATACTGAAACTCAATAGACGTGCTATGACTTTTTTGTCCAAAGATTGCAACTGGTAAATAGCAATTCCAATTTTTTATGATCCATAATGATAATCTTTGGAATTTATAGCAAGATCTACTCTAAACCATATCATATATCAAAACTACATACATCTTACATTATCTCTGTATACAACTTCCAATGGCTTGATTCTTCCAAACTCCCAAGTTCACAGTCTCCTCCAGGTTTTGTTTCCTTTCCTCCCTAACGTGGATCCGGAGACAACCACTTCAATTCCATGTTCATGTTGTTGCTGTTGTTAGATTCAATCCAATCAGTTCTGCTTCATAGTGACCCTAAGCGACAAAGTAGAACTGCCCCACAGGGTTTTCTAGGCCATAGTCTTTGTGGGCCCTAGACTGCCAAGTCTTTCTGCCATAGAGCCAAGCTGGGTGCAAGCCTCAAAACCTTCTGTTAGCAGCTGAGTGGTAATCATTAGACCACTTCTTCCCATGTTCAACAACACCCTCATTGTTTTCCTCATGCTTATATTTTACCAATCTGTTATCGACACAGCTGACCATTTTCCTATTTTTGGCACTCCTTAATGAACAGTATATAAATATGATTGCCACGCCTAAAAAAACAATTATTTAGGAATTAACACAGACTCTTCCTTGTTGGTCCTCCCTAGTCAGTACCGAGTTAACACCCATTCTCTAACTGCTATGCTCTTTAATACAGACGAATATCATCTCACCAGCCCTTCTGACTTCCTTTTATTTCTAAGCCTCACTCTCATTCACTTCCAAACTTGTATGCTCACTTTTTAAGAAAGTAAATCCACTCATTTGTGCTTTAGATTGTATTCCTTCAGGAGTCTTTCTGATTTCTAAGGGCCAAACCCTCTCTTTTCTACCAACAGACAATGAAAGCATGCAAGTATGACAAATCCTCTACACTATAATACAAAGTGACTTCAAAAAATTCATGAAAATGAAATTAAAAGGTAACGGTAATTTTTCACAAAACTTTGAAGCCCCCTTGTATTTACTCTTATTTTAACCAACCTATTAACTATTCTTGTTCCCATCAACTTTTGTCCTCATAGTTTTTGCAATAATCCCTAAAAATTCTTGTTATAGCCAAATTAAGATGTTATCTCAACTTACCCCTATTAAGAGTTTCTCCATTTTTCAAACAGTTAAGCGAACAGCATCTTTCTTAAAATATGCACCTAATTCTGATAATTCTTTCTCAGTCATTTTTGGCTGTTGTTTCTTTTACTCACCTTTCATTTCTTAGACTTCAACAGACAATCTAAAAGGTAACCCATATGTCTATCAGAGCCATATTTCTCTCTGGTTCTAATTCTAGCCCTTCTCCTCATCTTCAAAACTTGTCCTCACTCCCCTTTGCGCCCCCAGTTACTTCTTGATACTACACCTAGATATTTCAAAGTCATGCCTATGATTGTACTCAAGATCTTTCACTTTAACTTGGTCCAATTCTTTGGTATTTATTTATTCTTAAGGTTTTTATTGTGGATTGAATGAAAGTTTACAGGGCAGATCATCAGTTTTACATTCAACAAATCATACTCCTTGTTTTATTACGATGATTATAATCCCATCCATGTACCATGAGTTAACAGTATTTCCCTCTATTCAATTTAGCTTTTTTTTTTTTAAACAAACAAACAACAAAACAAAACACTCAGGCATATATAAAAATTTACATCTCCAAAGGGCACATTCTACAAGTCTGCCTCCTGGCCACTGTCTCTTAGTCCCTCTCTTCCCATGAATCTAGAGTTCTCAGCCGCTCCATCTCTCCATGTCCCCATCTCTGCCTCTGTCTCTGGCATCCCTGCTTCTCTAGGTCCTGCATTCTGCTTGTGCTCTTCTCCCTTGATGATCCTAGGTTCCTCTGTTTCTGTACTGTAAGCTTAACCACTCCCCTGCTTTTGTTACAAAACTTCTACCTTTACAATTTTAACAGTTGCAATTAGTCATGATAACAATTATTCACTATTGTATCATATGAAATTTATCCCCATCTCTTTTCACCAGGCCCATCTATACAAGATGACAGCTATTTAGTGGGGACTCTTTCTTTCCCCCCATACTCTTAAACGAAACTCCCTCTTGAAACCTTGTAAGCTATTCACTTCGTGCCTTTATAGCCCCCTCATTTTAGGTAACAAATGTCTAAGTTGCCCGTCCCTATCTACCCAGTGTACAGAGGGGCTAGCATTGATAGTTGATGTGAAGACTCCTTCCCTCCTTGTTGGTATTTAGAGTTACTACACTAAAGATCGACGACCAGAAGAGTTGTGGGATGACATCAAGAACATCATACAGAAAGAAAGCAAAAAGTCATTAAGAAGAAAAGAGAGAAGGAAAAGGTCAAATGGATGTCAGAAGAGACACTGAAACTTGCTCTCCAGAGTAGAGATGTTAAAGCAAATGGAAGAAATGAGGAGGTACAAGAGCTGAACAGAAAATTTCAAAGCTCAGCTCTAGAAGATAAAGCCAAATATTACACAAAATGTGTAAAGATCTGGAATCAG